ACAGAACAGGATTAAAATCTGTTCTTCAAAAGGGCACAGCCTTGCTAGGTGAAGCTGAGGAGGTCCTGAAGTGTTTGCTGCAGAAGTTCAAGAACTACATAGAGTCTCCATATGGATTGAAGTTTAAATGAAGAAAATATTCTCACCACTGATCAAATTGACACAACCATGATAGATGGAGAGAGAAAAAATGAGATTGTTAACAATTTCAGTTTACTCAACCCATAATCAACACTATTGGCACTGGCACTCAGGAAATCAAAAGATGAATTGCATTGGGAAAATCTACTGTCAGAGACCTCGCCTGAGTGCTAAAGTGCAACGATGTCAGTCTAGAGACTAAGGTGTACCTTATTCTGGCCTTAGTCTTTATAATTACTTGCTATGCATCAGAGAGCTGGACAATGACTAAGAGTGACAGAAGAATACTTGGTGTATTTGAGTTGTAGTGCTGAAAAACAATAATGAACGTTCCATGAACTATCAAGAGAACAAACATGTCTGTCCTGGTAAGGGTGGACCAGGTTTCTCTTTTGAAGCAAAGATTTTTGAAGCTCCATCTGACATGCTTTGCCAGGAGGAACACATTCTTGGAGAAAGAAATCATTCTTGAAAGGGTGGAGTATCAGTACAAGAGAGGAAGCTCCAGGATGAGACGAATTGACACAGGATCTGGAGTAATGGTGGTAGGTGTATTGGAAACTGAGATTGACTTGTGGTAGGACAGGGTTCAAAGCTATTGTGCATAGTGTCATTATAAATCACAGGTGACACTATGGCACATAAAAAAAGTGTATAGAACCATGACTCATAACTGACCTTCTACTGATTTTCTGAAGTTTTATATAGCCCACCATTTTCCTGCTGAGCATGTGGTAGATTTGAAGCACCAGAGAGGCTTAACTTTTGGGTTAGTAGTGTAACTCCGTAAGGACTAAGTCACCAATATTCTCCTTCTTAAGTAAGTGATGTATGCTCCCTTGAGGAAGGCATTTAATTGCTTAATAACTCAGTTTCCTTTTCCGCAGAGTGAAAATGCTACGTGTTGTGTTGCTATATGCCTCAAGTGTAAGGCTTAATGCTGCTTAAAGTTGGCTATTTTAGAAGAGCAATTAACATTTTAATGTTATACATACACTCAAATTAGTGGAAAAGTTAGGAAATCAACTTGGAGCAGAATTCATAAATACATTTCTTGTTTATAGACTTTGATATATTTACAGAATTCTTGCTTGTCATTTTCATATCACATTTGAACTCAGAATAAAGCACTTCATGTTTATATCAATGCATCCTATGCATGATATCAATGTAACATGAATGCATTGAAGATAGAAAAATACAACCTTTGCATTTTTGTATCCATATAAGGATGATGAGTTGATATGAAAATGTGTGGGGTATACTTTTTTTTTTTCATTGCCATTAAGTCAGAACTCAGCTGACATTGGGTTTTCGAGGTTGTAAACTGCATGGGAGCAGAGTGCCATATTTTTCCCTTAGAGCACCTGGTGAATCAGAGTCAATACAGAGCTCTGATGACTCAGTCCTTTGGGAATTGGGAATTGTGCCTGTAACTCAAAGGCCACGCCTGGCTAATGATGTGCATCCACCAGCAGCTCTGCAGGTGCGGGGGATGGGCAGGTATTCTGGGGGCTGGCAGTGAGGTGGATGGATGACCGTTTCTTCCTATATCATTTACAGCCTTTAGAACTCACTGGAATATCAACTCTGAATTGATTCCAACAGCAATGAATATTAGTATATAGAGTTCATTAATCTAGATATTGGTATACATTTTCCCTATGGAAATAACTACCCAGAGTTCCAATTGTTGAACTTCTTTTTTTATTCCCACTTTCCAATATAGAGAGTGCTTACCTTTCAGTTTCTCCCATCCATATTCCATTTGAATGTCATTATATATTTTGACAAGGAGGCATCCTCTGAAAGGGTGACATTGCAATTAATGACAGTTAAAACTCAGAGTAATAATTGTTTCTGTCATCCTAGACTGATTTTACAAGAGAGGGCAATTTACCAAGTGTTTTTGCTCTGATTTCTTCTCCAAAGTTGATTTTTTTCCCCCAAAAGTTGATTTCTGTTTATAAATATCTAGTTTAGGCAAGTAATAGTTTTCTAAAATATGTTTTCCTGTTGTTTCAACAACTGCTAATTCAGTATTTCTATTCTGAAATCTGTCCTATTTCAGGTACAGAAAACCATTTCATTCCATACTTTTATGTCTCTAGTGATTGAAAAATGATCCACATTATTAGTGCATACATATTTTGGTTATTGAGAGAGTTTTTGTATGTTTTAATAGAAGCTACAACGGGCAAAATTGTCTCCAATACAAGTTTGTCTCTTTGTTTTTTCCTTTTAAGCGCGTAGGTCAGTCCTTCCTACCGTCTTTTCTCACTTTTTTCTTTCTTCCACTTTCTACTCCTTTCACGTTCCTCTTTTTCTTTATTCCCCTTACCTTTTTAAATTCCATTCTTCTCAAACTATCCAATCATTTTCTAGATGATGTCTGTTTAATGTATTTATCAATTCTTTCATCTATTTGTTATTTCAGAAATTATAATGCTCTCTTATAAATTCCAATTTTCCCCTTAGCAGACATAGTTCACTTTGCGCTCATAGTTTCTGTTGCTTTTATGAGTGTCTTTTCTATTCTCTCCACAGTCTGGGAACTGCTGCCATCAAAATTATAATTTAATCACAAGGTGGATAACTCATAATTTATCATAGTCAATACTCAAAATTTGTTCTCTGGACTTTTACAGAAAGGAGATAAGTAAAAAGCTGCCGTTTTTTCCAAAGTAAAGTGCACTTTACACTGGTGGTTTTAAACTCAAGGTCGATTTACACTTACATACATCTGCATTATTCTGTCTCTTTCTCCCCTTCAATTCTTATTGAATTCATTTAGTGGTAAGCTATTCAAACTGAAATGGTAGGTCAGTCAATATTAGGATATAAAACTCTGTTAGCTTATTTCAAAGTGAGTCTATGGAGTTTAAATATATTTTTTAAACATCACAGGACTAAACAATTCCAAAATATTATCAAGTGAGATAGATAGTACAATTTCCTACTGTCTTTTTTAAGAAAAGAAAAGCAGTTGAATGGAGTGATAAATACTACGTTTTTTAACACTTACAGACATGGAGAAAGAACATTTCTGATTCCAAGCCAAAGTAGTAAGGAACATATATACTTGATACTAAACTTTTCTGGCAGCGTTTTTATTTTAAATTTCAGCATTTTTTTCCCTTTAAATCCCTGTGGGAGGACTTCCTAGAAGATTCTGTAAGCCTGGCTTCTTGGCTGCTTCTCCTGTTCCTGTCCATCTGTCTGGCACTCACCATCTTTGATGGTATAGATGATATTTGAATCTGTGAGCAAGTAGTTCAATTTGAGACTACATTTTAACATGCTTAACTGTATTCATGATACATTTAACATATTGCATTCAGCAATGGGAAAATTTACTTTAAGAAAATGTGACAAAGCTAAAATTGAAGCAAGCGACTTTTTCAGATTCCACACGTGTGAGAATACAACATCACATTTCCTTTTGTCGAGATACCATGTTAGCTCCTTTAACAACAACAACAAATCAATCTCATAGTATATTATTTTATCTTGAAACTCTTTGAGCTACAAGAAGTTGCATCTGTGTATATGTGGTTTTGTGGGTTTTTTTTTTAATAAGAAATGAATGGCTTTTGTGTTTAAAACATGAACTCGTGTTTTTGTGTGACTTTGTAAAATATCTTTACATTTATCAATCCTATTATTAAGTTGTTTTCTATTTTGAGTATCATTTATGTGTCCTTTTTTTGGCCTGCACGGGACATTATACATTTATAGGGAGCACCTAACATCAATTAAAAGACAATCCCAAGGGTTCTTAAGTGTGCTGGGAATCCTTTTCCCAACACACAGAGGTAAATTGTAAATATCCTCTCTCCTGAAAGTGTCTTGATTTTAAAAGCATCATTACACATAAGAGAAACAACCACTCATCTACCAAAGGGACAGCTTGGAAGTCATAGTTAAAAGTTGTTCTCATACAATATTGGGGTCGAGAGGAGTATGCAGCTGCTGTCATATTGAAGGAATTTTCTTTCATATTTCCTTGTTCAGCATCTTTGAAATAGGGATCATTAAAGAATGTTTTATTTAGATTCTCTCTGTGCCTATTGGCAAAGGATAAAATTAAAAATTCTCACAGAAAGCATTATCCTTTAAAATAGAAAATCATGATTTGTCATTCATTCTGAACTATATCTGTTGAGTCAATCCATTTTCACCTACTTACACCAGAAACAAGCAGTAGTGAAGAAAACTGATTACATGATCCATACGCATACCTAATAAAATAGCAATGTGTGCTTTCTGACAAGCTTATTCATAATACATTTTGATAGAAAATTCCATTTGCCATTCTCAGCAGGAAAAGGAGACTTTTAAAGGAAATTTTTTCTTTTTATGACTGTCGCCGAAATGACAATTACAAGCAAAAGGGAGATATGACATGAGGGAGGGGTAAAACAGTTGAGGAACTGTTTGGAAGTTTGTAATCCTGTTTGTGGCTCCTTATTTGATATGAAAAATTAATCCTGAGGATCCTATTTGAAGTTCCCTGTTTTCAGAATAGGTTATGCAGAACAAAGACTAACCAGTATCCCCTAGAGGTTAGTTTAGAATGATGCTCTGTTCTGCTGAGAGTGAATCTCCAATGACCACTTCTTACTGCTTCCCAAGCTTAGGGAATTCATTAATATCTGGAGAATAGGCTTAAATAAAACCATTGTCTCAACCAGCAGGTTTATGCAACCATCCTGAAATGTTTTAATTATTGTTTTCTTTTCCTTTTTAATTAAGAGACCAGGGGTCAAGCAAGCCAACTGAGAGGTGATCACAGCCTCTGTAGAAATTTCAGGGAAACTCTAATGATTGGATTTGCTGTTTCCTCTTTTGTTTTGCAGAACAAGAAGAGTGTGTTAATTGCACAGATGAATGCCGAGTGCTTGGTCATTCTGACAGGTGTTGGATGCCACAGTTCCCTGCAGCCAATCAGGCTGAAAATGCAGATTACCGCACAAATCTCTTTGTACCCACAGTGGAAGCTAATGTTGAGACTGAGACTTATGAAACTGTGAATCCCACTGGGAAAAAGACTTTTTGTACATTTGGAAAAGACAAGCGAGAGCACACTATTCTCATTGCCAATGTTAAACCTTATTTAAAAGCCAAACGTGCCCTGAGCCCTCTCCTCCAGGAGGTCCCCTCAGCATCCAGCAGCCCAACCAAGGCATGCGGTGAGCCTTGCACCTCAACAAAAGGCTCCCTGGATGGTTGTGAAGTGAAGCCCGGAGCCCTAGCTGAAGCAAGCAGCCAGTACTTGCCCACTGACAGTCAGTATCTGTCTCCCAGTAAGCAACCAAGAGACCCTCCCTTCATGGCATCAGATCAGATGGCAAGGGTCTTCGCAGATGTGCATTCCAGAGCCAGCCGGGATTCCAGTGAGATGGGCGCTGTCCTCGAGCAGCTTGACCACCCCAACCGGGATCTGGGCCGAGAGTCAGTGGATGCCGAGGAAGTTGTGAGAGAAATTGATAAGCTTTTGCAGGACTGCCGGGGAAATGACCCTGTGGCTGTAAGAAAGTGAGGAAAAGGAAAAGGAAAAAAAAAAAGCATTGGCATTTTTTGTCTCTTCGGTTGATTAAAAAAAAAAAATCCCTCTTGGTGACAACCCATCTAACAGGGATGAGGAAAGACCAATGCTGCTTTAAGGCTTTTAGTGAACATCTGAAGTGCCCACAAGTATGTTCTTTTCACTGCTGTTTCTTTTTCAGAGATAATAATGGTTTTGTTTTGACCAAACTTATATTAGAACAGAGTTAACGATGCTTAAAGAGGAATGAGGAGAGAAAAAATAAAGCGAGAAGACAAAAGGAGAGAAGAAGAAAGGAGGATGAGGAGTCCAGTCACCTTTTGACAATCTGTTAGGAAGGTATGCAGTGTGAGAACTGAAGTGTTTCTGATCACTCTAGGACTGTCCTCCGTGACTTATACTGACTTAACTGTTTACCTATAAACCCCATACAAAGCAGGGTCCTAATTTGTGATCTGTGGTGGATTTCTAGCAGTCATCACAGGCTTCTACTCAAAGTCCCAAAAGACCTTGCAGTAGTCCAAGCTACACCAAACATTAACACATATTTGTGGTAAACATTTCTGTATAAAGTTACCTGCCACACATAGAAACACAAAGAACATTCCATATCATTAGTCAAAAAACACAAAAACAACAAAAAAAACCCAACAACCTTTGGTCATCTGTAATACACCTCATGTCGTATAAAAGTTAAATGTAAAAAAAAAAAATATAGTCCATTTTGTCCTGCACACACATAGGCTGATTCACTTCATAAAAGAAGAAAATTTAAAGTTTTACCATGTCTTTTTAGCATTTTAGTGTCCAACAAAGACATAGATAGTGACGGATAAGTTTTAAACCTGACATAGGGAAATTATAAAACATAATTGCCATTAGAATGGTAATATTCAGAGCAAATTAACATGATTAAAGTTTTGTATTCATTTGTGGACACTAAAATAGCTCAGGAAAGGGAAAATATCTTAGTCATATACAAATCACATGGCCATTTAAATGTGCAGATGTAAGAAGATTCTATGTGTTTACATCAAATGACATATTTTTTATTGATTTATTGCAGATTCCGTGCATATGAGCCAAATTGTTAAGTGTATAAGAGCTATATTGTGTATTTTATTAAATTAATATATAGTTGTGTTGCAAAAATCTTTGGGCTTATATTGTAAATGGCAAGTGTTGCCTCGGTAGCTGTCGAACTCTATGAGTTTTGTTTTTTCCTGCTTCCTTTTCCCCATGGAGTGTGGGAAGCAGTGCCTCAGAGCAAAGTCTCTTGTTTAATGTATAGTCTACCAAGTACTACAGTACATAATCTGTTCAAAATGTGTTTGAGTGAGCCAATGGAGCTAACTGAAAGGTCAAAAACTTCATCCGTCAGTCATGGTCAAGTGCAAGCAAGCCCTTGTAGAAGCTTTTATTAAAGTCACAGTAAATCACGAGAATTGCATTTGTACCCGTACTTGAAGCTTTCTCACAGTTTTGCTTGGGTTTTTGTTTGTTTTTTTTTCTTTTGCTTTTTAATAACACATACAGCTTCTGCCTATGTATATACCATATCCTGGATTAATTTGCAAAAATCTCTTAAGTGGTTCAAGATGTGCATTCCCATTGTATTTCAAAAATATGGAAAAAAATGCTTTAATGCATGTATGATTCCGGCATTGTTTACTTGCATTGCGTGGTGTTTACAGAAAGTCTGGGTCTTAACAAAATTGGTTTTCCTGTTTTTCAGTGCTCTTCTGCCTCTTTTTCTTGGCGTCCTTGAGAACAATACACCTTCTTTTCTCTCATTTGGTGGCACCTTTTCTGTAACATTTAGCAACTTTCAAATTTACTTCCATATGAGGGTTGGAAACCTCAAATTTTAGGAATTGGGGGGAAATAAAATTAGCACTTGCAGAAGTAGCAGCAGATGGGAAAATGCCTTGATTGACATTTTCCTTCAGCATTTATAATTTTTGGCATTTTACAGCTTCATGATAAACAGTTTTGAGCCCATCCCTAGAAAATGTGGTGCTGAGTTAAATAAAGGCTGTTTGTGCACTGGAGCAGGAAAATGCATTATTTGCAAACTGGTGGAGAATTCTGTGCCTTCTTTTCTGGCCACCAAGCCTGTGTAGAAACAGCATCAATGTTGTAAAATCCTTCTATCAAAAGTGAAAGCAAAAAACAGAAACAAACATAGAACTGAATTAGTTTTGTAAATTCAAGTGTCAAAAAAATTCTACTGAATTTTTTTTTCTGTCCAATGCCGTCAAGGTTTTAGACTGTACCTCACTCGCAGCACTGCTCTGAGAGGGAAGAATGGACAACTCCCATCAGCCTTATTCTCTTGAGAACTGCATTTGGTTCCTAGTAACAGCCTTTCCAAAGCTCTACTCTTGGTTTTTATTATCCGTAAATGTTGAAGTTAGAAAAGGAGGGATCTTGTACATGAATGTGAAATCTAATTGACTCTCTATATTTTGGACAATTTATGTATCTGAAATGTGTTGTCTCTGTTATTTGATGTTATTTTGTTTTGTTTTTGGCCAGGAGACTACAGGTTGATTTCATTTGATAGCTGAAATCTGATGGAAAACTGACTTCCATTTAGTTGTTGCCTCTCTCTTACCAGACAGATCTCCATTTAGACAAATCAACACAGTGTGTAAACGACACAAATAAAGAGAGTAGGGCTTATTTTTAAAAACATCCTTAACACTGAGTAACCAGTTGTTCAATTTTCTCATATGCATCTGAAGACATTAAAACACTTTAAGATTTCAAGAATTGGTTGTGCCAATGTGTGAAGGATTTACCTTTAGGCATTCTGCTACCAGTGATTTACTAGTGTTAGCTGTATAACACATTACCTGTATTTAGTAGTGATTATTATTTTTTCACAAGCTGATGGTAATGCAGCAGTCAGGTCTCTTAAGCTTTTATTGTTAAGTTGAGAAAATCTTACTTTCATTCATTTGGCTAGAAACTGCCTTTATTGTAGACCTCTGGTGCTCGGCTTCCAGGCAAGCCTTAGGAGATGCCAAAAGCCCATCTGTAGGGAGCAACCTTTTCCAGTGGGTGACATATGATTAAATACTGAGATCTGAAGTGGTTTCAGTATAATTTAGAATATGAAAATATTGTCTTAAATAAAATTCTCCTAAAAAACAAAATCTCACATACCCAAAATGAATAATCTGATTATCTTTAAATAACATTTTAAGCACACACACACACACACACACACACACACACACACAGATTCTGATGTTTGTTGGTTGGTTTGGTTATTTTTTTAAATTTTACTAACAAACCCAAAGTTTCTGCAATTACTTAGTGATGAATTCTTTTAAAAACTAGTAATAATATTTCATCAAATGCTAATGATGAAAACTCCTTTCATCAGTTAAAAGTAGTGAGAATCAGTATTACTTGTACCTATACCAAAGCAAACATTAAAGAGACATATAATACAATTTTAGAGAATCCTTTCAAGTTAATTCTTGACCTGACATACTTCACAGGTGATATACAAAGATTGGCTCACTATACATAAATTCATTGACTACCTAGTTGGGTAATTGATTTGTTTTTGTTTTCTAAATTAGATGCTATCTTTAAAACATGACTTTCCTTTAGAAGATCTAGACATTGATGAATTTGAAAAACGGCCCAATAAACAACATTGATGTAGTAATGGATCTGTATGCTTTATTACAACCAGGTTCAAAGCTGTTTGTTATCTAATGGAGTAGAAGTTGTTGAGGTCACCAAGTATACTGAGGTCTGGCATATTGTACACCCACTCATTACTGTCTAATTGTGTTCTTTTGACAACAGACAACATTTACTAGTGCATTAATTCAAATGAGAGTTTTGGCTATCAAGATGTGTTCTTTTGAAATATAATTGAACGAGACCTGACTAAAGTCTGACTTTCCTGGCCCCGATGTTTTGCAGGTTGGCTATTCCCATTTATCAGCCTCATCACTCCATAAGGTTCTTAACTGCACCAAGTCATTGGTGAATAAGGACAACAAAAGCAGCGTACATTGTATGGATTTATCTCAACACTATTGTTTAATGGCTGTGTTCAATGTGACCTATCTGGAAAATGAGGACTCAGAATAAAAAAAACTATTACTAATAGTGGTGTTGCTTTCCTTTGCATTCATTAACACAGATGTGTTGCATACCACAGAGATCTTGATCATAATTATTTTGGAAAATAACTGAATTCACAATGTTTTGGAGATTAACAAAAAAAATGAACAATAATATCATTGTTTGTGTCTTTCTTTTTTTTTTTTTCTAACAGGAGTGGGCTCATAATCTTTCAGACACCTTAAGTAGTTTGGAAAGTCACCTAATTACCATGGGATCATAGTGTAATAAGTCTGGTGGCTTTTAATCCTTACAGTTCGTTTTATCATCACTTATTACACAATCCCAGAAAACTTTAGAAAAGTCCTTGTACGAGCCTGTTCATAATCTTACATGGTTGGTGAAAGCACATATTCATAAATGATATTTTGAAGTAAACGTATGCTCACGATAACATTTTAAAACAAGCTTCTCCATTCATTCAGCAATAGGGAGCTCTGGAGGCTTAATGGGAAGGAATTGCTCTGCCAAGGAAAAGGTATGTGTTGAATCTACCAGCTGCTCCACAAGAGAACAATGGGCAGTCAACTCTCCTGATTTCACTGCTTCTGAAAAACTGCTGAAGCCTCTGCTATGGGTTGACTCTGACTCTCCATTAGCAACTCATTCAGCAAGCATCTATTGAATCCCTTCTTTGTGTCCCCCACCCCCACCCTGGCAATTATGTGGTAAGAATAAACAATAAACAAGGGATGATGTCTAGGTCATACTCTGGGAGTAGAGATAAATATAGGAGGTATTATTATACCTATTACTCATTATTAGGTGCATCTGATTTAGGCCACAGCCTTTCCAATCACTTGCTATGCATCTGAGAGCGGGGCAATGAATAAGGATGACAGAAGAATAATTGATGCTTTTGAGCTGTGGTGGTGGAGAAGATCGCTGAACATCTCGTGGACTACAGAAAGAACAAACAACAATATTTGGAGACGGTGTGGCAAGAGTGCTCTTTGGAAGCGAAGATGATGAGGCTTCATTTCACGTGCTTCGGGCATGTTTTTGACTAGGTGATAGACACTTATATAGGAATTTACTACGTGTGTTGCTTTGACACTACCATCTTTTCATGAGTGTAACTTTTTGTTAAGG